GGATATTCAAGAAAATGCAGTGTGCATTTTGTTGTTCTGAAGCATCAGGTGTTGGGCACAGACCCCCTTCGTTATATCCCTGGTGATACGTGGCAGGTGAATTGCAACATGACGCATCTTAGAAAGCCTCAGCTTGCTGCAGGACTGGAGCTGGGAAAAGGCTTCAGTGCCAACAGGCTTGAGAAACTCAGCATGGCCTTTACCTACCACTCAGCTCTCTTGGTCTTTTACAAGTTGTATTTAAAGTTTCTCCTGGTGCATCCTGATGTATAGACAGGGCTGTTGTGGGGTGCCCCCCTCAAGTGCCCAGCTGGTTCTTCTGTTTCTGTTTAGTTCTTCAATGTGTTGTGGGATGAATTTGTGGTCGCAGCATGATCTCTATGGGGTTCATTAATTTACTCATTAACAATGTATGTGATGCCACTCAGATTATGCAGCAAAAGGTCTCAGTCTCTGATCCTAGACCCGTAATTCAGTCCAAGCAGGTGAAGGCAGATCCAGGTCCATGGAGCTTGTATTCTGAGAGAGAAGAGATGGGCCAATTAGGGGCAAAAATGGCCTAAACAGGAGATTGGTTTCCCCCCCACAGCTTCCAACTCTTATTCAAAGGCTGGACTCTTTATTGGCCTCAGGTTGCAGTGCCTTCAGCAGATCACCCTACTCTCAGAGAAGGTTCCAGCTGGAGAAGGATTTGGGCTATGAGGGGAGAAAGGTTTGGCTCATATGGATGTCTGTGATAGGAGCTGCTGTGAGGTGGGAGCATATGTGTTAGCAGAAATGTTTTCTGAGGTTGCACGTACCTGATGTGGAAGGAGAAATATGGACCAAGCCCCAATCTAATAGCCCAGAGTTGAACACTCCCAGGTCTGGATGAAGTATAAAGTGTTGGTCACAAACGTTTCTGAAATGGTCCCTCTTCTGATGGGCCCAGTACAGTCCCCTTGCATTTTGCAACCCAGAACAAAATTCTGCAACCTGGGGTCCATCTCCTGTCGTGGGATGTGACCTTGGAGTGAGAAGCTGGCTGTGATTTAACCCCTGGTCTTGGTTCTCTCAGGGCAGAGCATGCAACCTATTGGGGAAGCAGGACGATCAGGACTTTACAGCCTTGGTGCAAGCACTGCAGGGGATTGGCCTCTCGGATGATGAGCTGACCTCTATCTGGGCAATGCTGGCTGCTGTTCTGCAGCTTGGGAACATCTGTTTTACCTCCTGTGAGGTATGTTAGTCCCTTGCTAGTTCTGGGGTTGACAGACACTGAATAGTACAGCAGTCTCATGATGGGACTTGGGGTATTGTTCCCTGTTGAACACAGTCTCATCTGCTCCTCTGAGACTGCTGCAAATACCCAGAGAAGGAGAACCTGGGCTGCCTGAGGTCTTTGGAGCCTAAAGAGCCAAAGTCAGGCAAGATGAGGCACTGGAGTTTTGTGACCTGCCCTTGTGCAATGAGGATGAGACCAGTTTTCTGCAGACGTTGCCCTGGGTAACAAGTCTGGGACCCTGTCTCCAGTATCAGCTTAGACTTGTTCTTTTCCCCCATGATCTAGAAAGGATCCTTTGAACTTGCAGCCATCCCCAGTGACACAGAAATCCAGATTGTGGCCAACTTGTTGCATGTCTCAGCAGATCTCCTGCGAAGTGCCATCACTCATCGGGTCACTGTGAGTACATCATGGCCACTTCATTCCCCTGTTCTCCTACTTGAGCTTGTGTTGTGTAGGGAAAGGGTTGAAAAGGATACCTGTGCTTTGCCCCAGCCCTGGGCTTTTTCTGCAGGAAGATCTGAGCAGCAGCCACTGGTAGCCTGTTTACAGCAGCCACCTTCTGCATGAAGTAGGAATGTCACTCCCCACCCCTTTTTTTGGCTGTTATATGAAACAGAACAACCTCTTTACTTGGGGGCTCATGTTTATGTTCATAGTAAGAATCTGAGAGGGGCTGGCCTATAATCAATATATAGGCTGCCAGTTGAAGGGACTTACCCTGCCATCTGTCCCCAAAATGGCACCATACCCTGAGGCAAGAGCTCGGCCACAGGAATAACTCTGACTTGGTTCCCTAAGGTGCCTTGAACTTGGGTTTTAGCAAGGTGCAGGAGGAAAAGAGTCCCCAAAAGCTTGGGCCCTCTGATGAGAACATGCTGTCCCCAGCCCTGCAGGCTTCACACTGGGAGCTGGCACCAAAAGGCAGCACACTGCAAGATGAGTCCTGTAGGGGTCTCTAAATGTGTGCATGTGAGTGGGTGTGAGATGGACATGGTGCTCCGTTGTGCTGAGAAACCTTTGACCTCACTCTGGCAGTCTGAAGGCACCTTGAAGTGGGCACATGTTTCACCCCTTCTACTGACTCAGTAATCACAGAATCAGTAATTGTGCCATAGGGGGTACGTCTATACCATGGCAGGGTGTTCTGTCCTACAGCTGAAAGAAATAAGCTCCACCAACCCTGGAAATGCAGTGAGGATGTCCCAAACTGCCACCCTTGAGCCCCCTGTTTATCCAAGTTGGGAACATGGTGTTTGGGGCACCCTCACTGGCATTGATGTAAGTGAACTGGAAGTGGCTGGGCAGGGCTTATTTCCTCTGTGGCTTGAGTGAACTTCTTGCTACCACAGTGTAGACACACTGTTAAGTCCGGATGAGTCCCAGCCCAATATCTCAGATAACTGGCTCCCAGCTGAGTAAGACCCAGAAGTAAAATTCTACTGTACGTCTTGCCTTGCATTGTGCAAGGGGATTCCTGGGCAAAGAACTCCCATGTTAAGCTGTATCGATTCCTTACAGGTTTCCAGACAGAACCTTTTCTTGTGAGTCCTTGTAACAAATAACGCTTCCTTCTATCCAGGTGACATCCTATGACCGGATATTCACCCCTTTGTCTGTAGAAGGTGCCATCGATGCCAGGTAACCAATCCTGCCTTGGTCACTTTATCTCACTTAGTGAAAGTAGCCTGAGAGCATTATTTTCCTGGTAACTGCCTGGTTTGGTTTTCCCCCATGCTTCCCCCACCAAGGGATGCCATTGCCAAGGCTGTGTATTCCCTGCTCTTTGACTGGCTCCTGGAGAAGATCAATGGATGGCTAGCCCCTCAGGAGATGGACAGCACTGTGGGCATTGTTGACATATATGGCTTTGAGGTTGCTTTTCCCATTCATTTTAAACTGTCTTGGAGTCACTGTCCTGGCTGCATGTATGTGTCCTGGTTCTTCTATTTCACTTGTTAAAGCAAGAGGGAAGCTCATAAGTGTTTGCTTATGGGGGGAAGACAGTGTCCCCCAAAGCATGGGGCCCTGTCTGTCTGAACTGTGTGTAGTGTCCTATATACTTTTGGTGCAATGGAAATAATGTCTTGGTCTGGACTCTGGCATTTGTACTGTGTGTGACAAGATGGCCAAGCCAGTTGGGAAAGATTGGGACTAATCCAGCATTTTGACCCAAACTTGCCCCGGCCCCAAACTGTACCTCTGGTTTCTACTGAGGCATGGCAGTGTGTGGTGCTCTGAAACACACTGTCAACTAACAATGCAATCCACAAGCCCAAAAAGCAGATTGTGATTTAAAAACGCAAATAGATCGCTTGGATGTTAGAGACATGTGCTGATTTAGGTCCAGCATTTAGGTTCTAATGATCTACATTGACCAATTACCAAGACTTGCTTTAACAAGTGAAATAGAAGAGCCAGGACACATACATGCAGCCAGTACAGTGACTCCAAAACTTTACTATATCTTTCCAGGATTTGGGGGTGAACAGTTTGGAGCAGCTATGCATCAACTTTGCCAATGAGCATCTCCAGCACTTCTTCAGCCAGATAGTTATTGCCCAGGAAGAGGTAACAAAAAACCCTTGCTGGCAGAGACGGCACACATTCAGGGAGTTGAGGCAGCCTCAACTGGAGAGCATTTCCACACAGGGAAGAAAGGCATTGACTGGATCTGTTCTTCGATTTTAATACCAGTGTGCTTTGCCTCTGGAATGGGGGTTATTAACAAGTCATTGCTAATTCTGTAGTTAATTAGTAGAGAAAGAGGCAGTTGGAGCACTTCTCCACTTGAAGTGGTTTACTATAAGCAGCATCTTTTCGATCTGAGACCCTAAAATACCACCTGGAACTTATAAGGCCAGGGCTGGAAGTCACTGGTACCAGCTGTGCCCCTTGTGGAACAGCAGAGTGCTATTTCCAGACTCGACATCTTGTCCACTGCCCCTTGCCTTGCTGTAGTCTACCTCTGTTCTCCCATGTTAGAAAAAGTGTCCACAAGCTTAGTTAATGGCTAAAGTTGGGAGGTACCATGCATGTTTATAACGCTAAACCTCTAGTTTGCTGAGGAACCAATCAGATCTCTGCTAACTTCCTGAATTTGATGTTTGTTTTCCTGGCCGGGGTTTGGCTGGATGATCTTTGACCGGTAGGAGGAATACACCCAAGAAGACCTAGTCTGGATTCCCATTTCCAAGATTCACCAAGAGTCATGCCTGGATCTGATTGCTTCAAAGCCCCATGGTATCTTGCGCATCCTGGATGACCAGACATCATTGACCCAGGTTAGGAACTTGCTGTGGCTGTCAAGCCACACAAATGGAGTAAAAAGGTCATTGTGTCAGGTGGGAAGTGTTCTCTTCATAATTACGCTTTTGACTTGTTAATCTGGATTAATGCTTCTCTGAAAGACAACTCCATTATGCCAAATAGCCATGAGCCCACATGACACTTCTCATTACTTTTCTTCAGTAAAAGGAGATTTTTGTCTTTTAGGGGAAAAGAAGATCATGGTTTTTGATATGAGACAAGCTGTTAAAATAATTATGGTAGATTTTAAGCAGTGAAAAGGCTATTGCCTTTACAAACTGTCTCAAAAGCAGATTGACACAGGTGCCAGGCATAGACATCTCTGGAAAGTGATGTCTTAGTGAACATCTCTGGAAAGGCTGGATGGTCATTTTTGGACTGATTCACTCCAAAATTTTGCTAAGCTAATGTTATGTGACACAGTCAAAGGGAGATAATTTTGTTTAATGTTTCTATTGCTTTCAGGCCAGAAGGCCTTGAAAAATGTATGTACAGGCAGTCCTCGACTTACAACATTTTGAGTTACAACATTTTGCAATTACAATGTTTATAAATTGACACCCTGTTTCAACTTTATGATGTTGGTTTCAACTTTACAACGCTTGATCCAATGCGATGCCACGCCAGCGAACAAGTTTGCTGTGTCATTCATCTCCCTGGAGAACATCTGTCCAAACTGCCTTGGACACTTTCTTTCAGAAAGCAGACAAAACTCCAGAAAAACTTGCAGCCAGGACTCCTGAGAAGACTCCAGCCAAGAACCCTTCAAAAAGTCCAACAAAGTTACCTCAAAGAAGCCCTTCCATATCAATATGATTGCTATTTATGATATAAATACATTAATGTAGCTATGTTACTCATCTGGGTTATTTTTGGTGAAAATAGGGTATGGGGCCTTGGTTCAGGAACCAACCCCCCCATTTATAACGTTTCAACTTAAGACACGTTTTTCAGGAACTAATTGTGTCGTAAGTCTGAGGACTGCCTGTAATAACCTCCTTCAACCAACCATGGGTCATCAGTGAGGAATCAAACCCAGAACCCCCAGCACTGTAGTAAGAGCCTCTGTCACCCGAGCTAAGGGAGTAACTCTGCTAGATGTCTGCTATTATCTTCTTGTATGATCCATCCACTACAGATGGCATGGTAGGGTATAACCCACACTGGATAGTGAACTGGAACCAACTTCCAAGGGAAGTGGTGCTGGCCCCTACCCTGGGGGTCTTTAAGAAGAGGCTGGATGCCTACCTGGCTGGACTCATTTGAGTCCCGTTTCTTGTTTTGGGGTTTTGTTGTTCTCCTCCCCTGGCGGGGGGTCGGGCTAGAAGATCTGCTAGGTCCCTTCCGACCCTTAATCTATGAAACTATGAAACTCACTATTTGCCACATAAGGTATATGCCTGGGAGAGAGGGACTTCTCTTTATGCATGCTTACAACTTCAACTGCTGTTGAACAATGGGGGTTAAATAAAGGACTTGGCTGTGACAATGTAAGCCATGTATGCCTCTCCTGCTCAGGCCACTGACCATACCTTCCTCCAGAAGTGTCATTACCATCATGGAAACAGTCCTTTGTACACCAAACCCAAACTGCCTTTGCCAGTCTTCACTGTGCGGCACTATGCAGGTCCTGTCACCTACCAGGTAAGTTCCTGGGGTCAAGCTGGGGCAGTCTGTGGGGGTCTGGGGCCATAATCGCTGGGTACTTTGGATGATGCTTGTCTGCATTTTTCCTGGTCTAGTGCCTGGATGATGCCTGCTTGCGGATGCTGCTAAGGAAAAGCTGCTGTGTTCTGAAGTTACTCTGGGTGTTTAAGTCACGAGAGGACAAATCAGAATATTTATGCAGTGTGCCTGACTATGTACTGGAGATTCAGAATTTCTGTATTTTTTTGGTTTGCTGATCCATGCTAGAGATTAAACCACAGCTTGACTTTACAGGTCCACAAGTTCTTGAATAAAAACCATGACCAACTACGCTCAGAAGTCCTTGATATTTTCTCCCAGAGCCGCCTCAAGGTATAGCACATGATTAGGGCAACTATTTCTGATGCCAGTATCTGACAGGCTTCTCCAGTGCTTTCTTCAGAGAAGCACAAAGATCAAAGCTCCTCAGAGAACTTGAACATAGTATCAAGGCATGCACTTGGGGTTGTGCCAAGTCATCTGCTTGGCAAACTTGTGAGGTCAGGCAGTCCCAAAATGGGCAAGGCTTGGCAGGGCTTATTTCTCAGCAGTGTGCCTGGTCTCACCCAGGAGGCCATACCTAAGGTCAGCCTATATCGTCTGGGGGAGGTGTGAATAGACCTGTAGCCTTAATCGGTTGCAGCCCTTCTGTTGTGGGTAGATGGTGGTGAGAGTGGTTCTTAGTCTTGGACCATTAGTTCCAGAAGAAAGGGACTGTTCTTTCAAAGCAGCAAAGGAGAGTGTTACATCATTAACTTACTGCTTTCTTCTCCTTTCAAGCTTATGTCCAAAATTTTCCAGAGGGCCAAAGATCATCACAGCCAGTACAGGGAGCTGGGAACAAAGGGCAAAGGGCTCAAGCATCCAGCCTCGACCCTGGTGTCCAGATTCCATCAGTCCCTACTAGATCTCACAGCCAAGCTGGGAAGGTGAGGGATACAGGGATGACACCAGCCCTATTGTTGCTGACTGCCTAGTGTGAAAGCTCCCCTCGCTCACTTGATTGTTCTAGAAGGGCTTTATTGCTGGGAATTTGAGTGGTTTAGCTGGGTGGTGATGGATGATGGAACCAGAAGAGGAGGAAGGGCCTTGTTCGGTAGAGATGGACAGTGTCTACGTGGGGATATGAAGGCTTCAGCAGCCCCTGGGTATAGCAAGGGCATTTCTGGAATGGGGCTGTTAAAGTGTCTTCCCTTTCCTCTGCCTTGCAGGAGCCATGCTTTCTTTATTCGATGCATCACGCCCAATTCAAAAAAGGTAAGAGAGCTCCTGCTTCTGAACAGCAGCACAGGTCCTTGGGAAACCCTTCAGCAGGATGTTACTTCCCTTGCTGTCTCCTTTTTTTTTTTTCCCCAGCTGGTACCATCTGAATTTGGCTCTCCTTTGTAAGAAGCAACACACTTGTGCAGTTTGCTGTTCCCTGCCTGTAAAGCCCCTTCCTAGAGCATGTTTTTTTTTCAAGATCAGCTCTTCTGTGACATGCTGCTCTCCCTCTCAGTCTGTGCTCTGGTGCTGGCTGTCTGTTACTTGCTGCAAAAGAGTGTGTTTCAGAATCCTGCAGGGCACAGGGTTTACTCTGCCCAACAACGAGGCAAAATCTGTATGGTCCTGCATGGGGGTCTGGGAGATGTGCCAACCTTTTCTAAAGGTCCATCTCTTTTTCTGTTTCTCTCTTTCTGTTTATTCCCTATTTTGTGTCTTCCTCCCCCTGCCTTCTGCCCTCTTACACTTCATGGCTTCCCCTGCAGTTGTCAAACATCTTTGATGTGGAATATGTCACTTGTCAGCTGAGGCATTCTGGGATACTGGAGGCCATCCATATCAGGAAGGAAGGATACCCTATCCGCATCCCATTCCAGCCCTTCTTAGTCAGGTAATTCCCCTTGTCTGTTCTTCCTTCTGGCTGGAGATGTCCATGTGATTGAAGGGGACTCGGTGCCAACACATAATTGCAGGAGGGTTTCACTTTGTTCTTTTATGTCTTCCTTCTGCCTTTCAGGTATGGGACTCTGGGTGGACCTACACGGAGCAATTTGCAGGAGAGGGACGACTGCATCGCAGTGCTGTTGCGTGTGGTGGGGGACGCCTCGGAGCTCTATCAGATCGGCATAACGAAGGTGCTGTGTAAAGAGAACGGTATCTTAATTCCAAAGACCTTTCCATCCACCTACTTGGTCCTGATGGAAAGTAGGCTGCTCACCTTTGTGCATAACCGCATACTTCCAGCTCAACTATTTCTTTTGCTTTACCTCTTTCCTTGCTTTTAGCTGGAGAATTGTAGTGCCTGTGAAATGTAAAGATGGTGAATGCTACCTTCTTGCAGTTCTGTTGCAGGCACCAGTTCCCTTATCCAATCTATGTATCCCATGACACCATCTACCTTGCTAGACACCTCACTGTTGTTCCTTTCTTGGGTTTCCCAGACTCAGGCCTTTCATGCATCTCCATTCTTTCCTGATGTTCCCATGCTGTGTAATAATTGAGAAGAGCTTGGATTGAGGGATTAGTGGAGATCAGTAGACTTGTTCATATGAGTAGCCTCTGGTATGAAGAACAATAAAGGCTCCATGGAATTCAGGGTAAAGTTGAGGTTCTACAAACATTGCTGCCTGTTATAGGTACTGCCCTGATCTTCTTGGCCCTTAGCAGTTTTTTCCTCTGGCCAGGTCTTTCTGAAGGAGAAGGCCAAACAGCTACTGGAGAGACGGTGGAGGCAGAAGCAGAGCTGGGCCATTGTCACCCTCCAGCGGAGACTCCGAGGCCTCATCAGCCGTAGGCGCTTTCAGGTCCTCCGGCAGAAGGTCACAGTCATCCAGGCTCATTTCAGAGGTCACCTAGCAAGGTCAGAGGTCAAAGTCTAGGCAGATGCTCCTGTTCTATGGCCAGCTGTAAGCATAAGGGCTTACTGGAGTCCCAGCATGATTTTGGAGGAAGCCTCCTTCGACTCAATATCCAAAGTACAGCTTGATGTCCTCACTTGGGAGTGGGAGAGCATGAATGGGACATGCGCTTCTGGTCCTGACTACCTGTGTTGTGTCCTTGCCTATACTAGAGGGGAGTCTTCCTTGGCAAACCTTCTCCCACACAGGGGTCATTAGCCAGGTTGTGGGGGTGGTTCATAGTCCAGTAAAACCGAGACAGTCCTGAGAGCAGCGATTGTGGTGTAGATTAACTGCTTCTTTGGTCAGAAGCAGAATTTCTTAAACTGGTTTGTGAGCACTGTGCAGAAGTCCAAACCATGTTTGTCATTAGCATATGTGGAAGGTGGTTTCAAATGTGGCCCCAGCCTATAGTGTATGCAATCCCTTACACAGACAATGGCTTGGGCACCCTTCCTAATAAACAGGAGCAGCCAAAAGGTGCATGCAGCGGTCCCCTAGCATACACTCACAAATTTCTGGGCTTAATGGGATTCTTGGTTCGGAGTCATAACTAACTGGACATCTATCAAGAGATCCTCAGGTCAATATTGTATAAACTACTCCCATGGTCTAGTGCCTCCTACTGGTTAAGAAATAAATATGAATAAAAATTGGGATTTTTTTATAGGTACCTCAGGGAGTTAAGTCTGACTTTTATTTTTTTATATATAGGCCTATAGCTCCCCATACCTCTACAAATCAGGCTCCAAGTGCCTGAATCTCATTTTATCCTGTTAGATTTTTTGCATCAAATTCCTTTGGGCTCCTTTGAACTTAAATTTAACCCCAAATGAATATTGACATAATTAAACTAGCAAAGCCCTCCCAACATCACTGCAGTTCTGTTGGCCAAAACATGTTTCTACCAGGATAGTTTATAACGGTTCCAGGGACTCGGTAGGCGCACACATACACTGGTCCAACTGTGTCCCCACAAGGCCTGATTAACTATATTGGTTAAAAAAAACCCCCAGCTATAACTTCTGAGTGAAATCCAGACCTCACAGAGAGAACTAAATCAAACTCAGCTGAGTCTTTGCCAATGTTTCAGGGCTTGTGCCTTGCTTATGCCTGAATGTGGGTCATGATCCTGGGTTCTAGCTATTTTCTGTTCTGCTGTATTGTGTTTCCCTCCCCTATCCTGCTGCCCCACTTTAATCCCAGGAAACGCTACAAGCGACTGAAGAAGACGGTGGTGCAGTTCAGGAGAGCAGTTTTAATCTCCAGGCCTTTGGTGCAAAGAAGGAAGCACTGCTGGGTAATGATACTATTCACAGAGATGGGTGGCAAAGGGTGTGCAGTGTTCAGCTCTGGTTTTATAAGGTTGATGGGTGGGGCTGCCTCTGGAGATAGGTTCATGGGCACTTAAACAGCAGTAGTTTTCCTAGCTTGTTCAAATGGCCTTTTGCTCTCTGAGTCAGTGAAGGTGGCTGGGAGTAAGTCCTCAGCTAAGCTGAGGATGGGGTGGGGCATGACCTGATCTGTGTTTGGCTCCCTAGTGTGCCCAGGTGGACAGCCTGAAGCTGTGCATGAGACCCCTGGCACCCTCCTCCTCTGAGAGCAGGAGCTGTTCAGCAAAGAGAGAGCCTTCAAATAACTGGCTGGGCCCTCAGCACAAGGGGCAAAGCCCATTAATCCAGAGCAGATGCAGGCACAGGGGGCTCTGAGTACTAGCTTCTGCATCACACAGCCTGAAACTCAAGGTGAGAGCACCTGAACCTCCTGGGTGCTTTTTCATGGGGGCTTTAAAGGATGCCCTTAAAATGGAAAAAAAAAGCCTATGCAGTTGTAAGACTGAATAAGTCTAATAGCAGGAGATCCAGGTGCTGGAGGTCCCCAGTTCAGATCCTACCAGGGCCTTGTAGAGCCATAAACTCTGAGCTTCTCTGCCAGTAACTGAGCTACTTCATGCCAGCTGTGATGGCAGCAGTTTTGTTTGGGGGGCACCCTACCACAGGATAGAGACCTGTCAAATTCATTTCGAACAAGCTGTCAAAGAGCAGAGGAAAACTGAGAATAGACAGGACCTCAGTTTTGTAGAGTTGGGAAAGTGGGACATTTGCTCATAGTCCCTTTGGCTTGCGGGCTTCACAAGATGGGAAGGAAGAGACCCCTGTACCACTCCCTTGATCAGCAGGATGGCTGCAGGATGCCCACCATGGATCACTATAGCATGCGCCACAGTCAGGGCACTTAATGCCATGCCGTGCTCCCATGGCAGAACATGTGCTGTCTCTGCTTCAGTCCCTTCCTGGCTGGACAGGTTCCAGCTCTTCTCTCTCCAGAGGAAGTGCAGTGAGTTGCTGCGTTGCTTTTCTTCCTTCCCTCCCATCCGTGTTTGCTTTCTGAAGGCTCTGCTCTTGGACGGATGACAATAAAAGGTCTCAAAGTTCACCTGCTTGCAACCACAACCTTCCTCGCCTCCTCCCCTTCCCTGTAGCCCTGCCCTGGGCGGACTTTAGCATGCCTGCCCTCTCCTTGGCCCAGCCCAGCTTTGTAGCTTCCCATCTGGACATCTGTGTCTTTACAATGCCGACAAACAGGAGAACCCAGGAGTGAGACCCCCCTCCCCATACACCCCCTCGGAGCAGTAAGCAGGTGAGTAGTGTGGTGGGGGAATATCCTAGTCTGTAGCTGGGACTGGGTAGAGCTAAATGAGAGCTTGGTCCCCTCTCCCTCCTAGGAGAGAACCCTTTGGGCACCTCTTCAGGCTGGGTTCAGGCCTTCAGGTGAAGGAAAAATGAGAGGGAGGTGAATGTTTCTAATTGCTGTGTGCTTGATGGGTCACAGGGAGTGGCACAGGCTGGGGCTGGAGGCTGCTGTATGGACGCAGGGTGTCAGCACAGGCTGTGATCAGAGAACGCAAGGCATCTTTGTCCCATGGTGAGGGCCAATGGTTGCCTGAATAGGTCCCAAGAAGGTTTTGCTTTTCGCCCCATCATTTTTACATGATAGCTATAGCAGAACCACCTCCAAGTGTAGCAAAGCCTGTGCCGTTGTAAGGCTGGTTCCCTCCACCTCTGAGGGCAGCAGCTGTTCAGCAAAGAGAAAGGTAAACAACTGGCTGTGCCCTCAGGGCAATGGGCAGAGCAATCCTAATCTGGAGCAGATGCAGGCACAGGAGGCTCAGAGCACACAGGGGTGGCATGCTGCTAGGCAGTTTACCACCCCCAGGAGCCTGACGCACTCCAAGCAATGTCTTGCTGACTTTTTTTTTTTTTTTTTTTTTTTT